GAGAGAGAGAGAGAGAGAGAGAGAGAGAGAGAGAGAGAGAGAGAGAGAGAGAGAGAGAGAGAGAGAGAGAGAGAGAACACACCGTCGGTCTGCGGCCATTATTCCGAAAGGAAGACTAGGTGCAAGGTCTATGGATAGTGCGCTGCTGCTGCTGCTTGACTACTATAAAGTGTCTCAAGTCCTTCCACCCATCATCTTGTGTTCTGTGTCATGACAGGAAGGTACACATGTCACAGCAATGCTTAGACAGCATGCTGAAAAACAGTACCAGACAACAACTAGACGAAGAATTCATCATAGAAGAGGGGCATGGGCAAGATCGCGACGCTTACTTGAAGAAAGAAGAAATTCAAACGTACATCATTCAGTCAAAGGTGAGAGCTGCTGCTGTCAATGTTCTTCTTGTCATTGATCTGCCTGCTTGTTGAAATTATTATCATCCCACCTTCTCGCCAGCATTGTTGAGCTGTGGCCCGTGCTGCTGCTGCTGCTGTTGCTGCTTCTGCTATTGCTGCTTCTGCTGTTTCTGCTTCTGCTGTTGCTGCGCCAGCTGGTGTCACAGCCGCCACCGCTGATGCTGTGGTGTTAGTGGGGAGAGTGCGTGTGTTATCCTGTGCCATTTGTTTGGTGTCAGTGTGGTACGCTAGGCCTAGTCGAGTGTGGGTAGACTAGGATATTGCGCATGCAACATTGTTCAGGGTTTCTTTTTTTACACTGGTAACTCAACAGTATTGAGTCCTACTAAAAGAGAACCAAACTGATACACACTACATGTTTAGTCCATTCACCGAATCGGGGTCCATAGGTTTTTCACAGTCTCACTTCATTCTTATTCAAGATCGTGATGTCGGCGACGTATATAGACCAGAAATACGATAGCCGTTGTTTTAAGCCTACGGTGAAGTGAATACGATGAAAATTAATCAAGATACGTGCAAAAAATATTGTGTTCAGACACATGTATCAGGGGCCCAGATTTGACGAATGGACTACATAGTATAGTAATGATATGGCGGGACTTGGAAGGCTGTGAGAGTGCAGCGGTATGAGTGTTTGGACCAGTTTGACTGATTTGGCTCCTTCTTTTTCGTGTGCCTCTTCATCTCTGCTCTCAGAAACCACGCAACATTGGACTGGAGGTAAGCGGTTCAGTCTAGTTTCCAGGCCCGGGGAGGGGAGGGGGCACACTTATGCAACCAAATATTGTACATAGCGTTACTCTTTTCAAAGTAAGTTCCATGCTTAGGTCACACAACAAGCAGCACGGGGAGTGCTTAGTTCTTCAAGTTATCTTGATGAATGTTTGAAGTAGAGTAACCTCACCATGGCAACGACAACAAGGTAACAAGGTAGCGGCAAGCAACCATCATATTGAATACCGTAGCTATGCATCTAGGCAATGGGCAATACCCAGCGAGGCAATGTGCATTACCCGGTGAGGCAATACGCAATACAATGGTGTGTGCATGTACCGGCGTATGTGCTGAATCTATTGCTGTATGTACGTATGTGCTGAATCCTTCCACCGTTAGGTTGTGGGCTCGGATGGTGAAGGGGAGCCTGATGATGCATCTGTTACCACTGATGGTCCCTATGAGTCTGTGTCACAGCATACCAATGGGTCGCCTAAACCTAAGCGAAAGAACGGGCGCTTGAGGCGGTAAGATGACGGTACTTGTTAGCCACCCTCTCCCGTACATTGCCTCCTTGCGCATCCTTTTCTTGCCGGCCCGCACCCCGTACCTAGCACCCGTATTCCCGTCCTCACCTTCTGGTTCTGCCATCTATCTTACTCTCTCTTTTTGACTTTCTCTCGTCGTCACCATGTGGGTTTTTTGGTCTTTTCGTCTACCCAATAAATGTCGTCCCTATCACCTACCTGTTCCTTGTTTCGTTGTGTATGGGATCATGACAGTTGTTGAGGTTCAGCATTGTCAGTAGAGCATGGGACTCCTAACCTGAGGGTCATTCGAGCCCCACGTTGATGCACAGTTGAAACGATCCAACGCAGTCCATGATTGGTGAGTGAAGCGGGCTCGTGAACTTTCCCACAAACTCTGACTGCGTACTGGAAATGTTTTGACTTTGTACAGGGAAAGTCGCGTGCACTAGAGTTTGATGAATTATTATTAGTAGATCATGAGTTTGACTCCCTAGTGGACTTCCAACTGTTTATAGGATAACGACTGCCTACTGAGTCCAACATACATTTTTGGTTTCATAGTGTTTGTTTGGTCTTTGTGCTGTGTTTGTGCTGCTGTGTTTCTGTTGTATGCAGGTCTAGAGGATTGCAGCCTAGAGGTGTTGACACGGAGGTGGTAAACGCCGCCATAGGGGAACAGATTGAAAAGGAACAGTTCTTGGTCCAGAACGGTGACAGGTCGATAAAAATGAATTTCTTTCTCAGCATCTGGTCAACTCTTCGAAGTACGGACTGTGGGTGGCTTGCTAACACGTACTACAATGGTAAAATTGAAATGAAGGTGAGAAATTCTGTTGCATCTTCTTTTCCTTTTGTTATTGCACATTGTTTCCATCGATTGCCACTGTTTAAAATGCTTTAGCCACATGTCCGTTCAACTTGTTCTCCTAATATTGCGATCCTAAGATTGTGGTCTCCTCGCCGTTTGTCCAAGGGGAGAAAGCCGCAGGAATCTGAACTTAGTAGAACTTGAGATGTTGTACGTACATGCTGCAATTCACACGAAGTTTTTGCATGGTTGCTGGGTGAATAGGAAGACAGTGCAACGGAGTACCAGTAGTCGTCTGAGCCTCTGATTGCATAAAACTCCAGGAACAAATCAGAAACTTGCATGGTACTAAAAGGGCCTAACGAATCGCACTACAGTTAACCCTGTAACTAAAGACCACCGTGACTAGCGACCGGCCTGGTACTACCGACCACTTCGCCAGGCACGGACGGTCTCAAATTCGAAATGCACTGTGCCTAGCGACTACCTGCTGAACGCGACCAGCGACAACCATTTCTTGTCCCAAAGATGACATCTGCCACTAAAGTAGTAAAGACCGCTTTTGCTGGCTCCAAGGGATGGACGGTGGTTACAGGTTTTGCTGTACTTGGATTTTCCACAGCTGCTCAAGTTTTTGATTCAGAGTCATGTAGCAGTGTGTATTCAGAGTCATGTGCCAGTGTGTATTCAGAGTCATGTAGCAGTGTGTATTCAGAGTCATGTAGCAGTGTGTATTCAGAGTCATGTAGCAGTGTGTATTCAGAGTCATGTAGCAGTGTGTATTCAGAGTCATGTAGCAGTGTGTATTCAGAGTCATGTAGCAGTGTGTATTCAGAGTCATGTGCCAGTGTGTATTCAGAGTCATGTGCCAGTGTGTATTCAGAGTCATGTAGCAGTGTGTATTCAGAGTCATGTAGCAGTGTGTATTCAGAGTCATGTAGCAGTGTGTATTCAGAGTCATGTAGCAGTGTGTATTCAGAGTCATGTAGCAGTGTGTATTCAGAGTCATGTAGCAGTGTGTATTCAGAGTCATGTAGCAGTGTGTATTCAGAGTCATGTAGCAGTGTGTATTCAGAGTCATGTAGCAGTGTGTATTCAGAGTCATGTGCCAGTGTGTATTCAGAGTCATGTGCCAGTGTGTATTCAGAGTCATGTAGCAGTGTGTATTCAGAGTCATGTAGCAGTGTGTATTCAGAGTCATGTAGCAGTGTGTATTCAGAGTCATGTAGCAGTGTGTATTCAGAGTCATGTAGCAGTGTGTATTCAGAGTCATGTAGCAGTGTGTATTCAGAGTCATGTAGCAGTGTGTATTCAGAGTCATGTGCCAGTGTGCTATGCGAGTGTACTCTCTTACTTGAATGTTGCACGTGCAGTATCGCAAGCGCGAAGATCTATACTACTGGAATCATTATCCGTATGTGATGGTATCCGCTGTGGGACTGCTCGTGGTTCAGGCCATCATGCTACCCAAGTAGGTCTTACTATTCATAGCCTGGAAGTGTAAGCTAGCATAGGACTGCAGATTTCATTCTTATGCTCTATGTTCGTGCATAATGAGCCATCCCAGTGTGCATGTGTTGAATGTGTGTGTGTGTGTGTGTGTGTGTGTGTGTGTGTGTGTGTGTGTGTGTGTGTGTGTGTTGCTATGTCTAACATAGCTGTTTGCTATCATCGTTTCTGCAATGCGCAAGTCTGAGGTGTGTGTGTGTGTGTGTGTGTGTGTTGTGTGTGTGTGTGTGTGTGTGTGTGTGTGTGTGTGTGTGTGTGTGTTGTGTGTGTGTGTGTGTGTGTGTGTGTTGTGTGTGTGTGTGTGTGTGTTGTGTGTGTGTTGTGTGAATGCATATGTGGGGTGGGTGCGTGCATGTGCAGGCACATCATGTATACATCTTTGTACACGATGTGTGCTTTGTCTAAGCTGATTCGAATAGCTAGTCCTGTGGCAAAGCTGCTCACAGGAGCTTGCCTGCAACAAAATCTGCACTTGCAGGGGTATCGGTTTGTAAAAAAAATGGGTGTTTCAGATCCGAACAGGCACCTATTCTTCATTTCCTGACCCACAACTCTCTCTCTCCCCCCCCCCCCCTCTTTCTGTCCCCTCTCTGCCCCTCTCCTCTCCATGTCTGTTTGCTTGTATCTTGATTTGTTGGTCTATCTACCATTTTCGGTGTGAATGCAGGACTTGGATTCAGCTGATCTTCCTCCTTCTGTTGACGTTTCTCTCCTCTTTTGCAACCCTTGTCTTCTACGCAGCATGGATGGTTAGTTTGGGAGAGGAGGAACAATGTTGGTAGCATAGATTCAATGAGCTATCGCACTGGCTAAATGGGACCTAGCATGCGCTTCTTCCCACGAACCGCAAACATTACACGCCTAAGCCCTCAATCTCTGGACCAGAGGAACAGTATAAAATTTATCTAGTTCCCTCCTGGTATCCATTGCAGGGCATGAACTAACGGTCGGACATCGGACATTTTCCGACCGTTTTCACTTTTCAGTCGTTGTCCTGGCGAAATATCCGTGCAACGGACAAAGTGTCCGACCGATCCGAGACGAAAACATACTTCATGGGCATTTCAATGCACGTGGGTGCAGTCAAACTCGTCTCAGACCTGGAACTAGACTCGCGTTTGGAGCGCGTTGTGGCGGACAATAAGTGGTGCTCTTGGCAAGTGTGGGCTCATTGTATTTCTCTCATCAAGAGCTTTCCAACGAGCCCAAGATCTTCAAAAGCGGTAAAGTAGAACCAAAGTTATGTTGGAAATTGATTGCGCATTTTCACGGAAGAAACTCTGTGCTGTCCTTCATCGTTGAGTAAGAAATTTGAAAACGTCGTTTCAAAGACATGTGTGGCCAAATGGGATGTCCGGGCATGTCCGACCAATTGAAGAAGTGTCAGGACATTATATCAGAACGACCATGATTTCTTATCACATGGCCGGCATTGTGACTTATGCTCTGATAGTCTTTGAACGAGGTCTGTCTCGTTGTCCAGGAAACGACCAATCAGCGACATTCCCGCCAAGGGCCTTATCAGAGTTAAAAACCCGCGCAATCGTAATTTTACTACTCTTGATGACGCGTCGAGGGCCTTGAATTAGTTTAAAGCCCGCTGGATATACTCTAAACTGGTGCGTACAACTCCCAGTATGCATTATAGTCCGGTGCAGATAATTAACTCTGCATAAATGTACGGTGTACGAGTACTACTAAAAGCTACGCATTTGAGAAGTGTGTACGGGTTTTTACTCACGTATTCCGCCGCAGTTTCATCTGTATGATTTTCCTTTGTCAACAGCTGGCGGAACTCTATAAAAACCGAAGATCAAAGTCATTATAGGTATCGAAAAGGGGCTCTCAAAGCCCCTAAATAGCTCCACACGCTACATGTATGAATAAGAATGAAGGTCGCAATAAGAGCCCAGCACTTTATTTGCTTCTATTCTACTTTTAGTAGGCCTTTAGTGGTGCTGAGTTACCATAACTTACCAGAAGAAAATATTCTATCACACCACACCAAGTCTCTCTGCACACAAACCACGAAACTACCCAATATAAGGGTACACAAACATAATGCGAATGAGATAATGCATGTAACCTCGCCAAAACGTTCTGAAATAGTTAGTGCATGGCAGGGAGGGCCTTATATGGCTTGTTAGTGCCCGACAGGTTAGCCCTCGGGCCTACGGCCCTCAGGCTAACCTGTCGGGCACTAAACAGCCATAAGGTGGGGGAGGTGCCCGGTTAGGAAAGGTGCCTGTTTGGGATATGTTCCTGTTCGGGATAGGTGCCCAGTCAGGGTAGGTGCCCAGTCAGGGTAGGTGCCCAGTCAGGGTAGATGCCCAGTCAGGGTAGGTGCCCGGTCCGGGTCACACGTGAGGTGCCCGATTGGGGTAGGTGCCCGGGTGGATAGGTGCCTGGCGGGAAAGGTGCCCAGTCGGGGTAGGTGCCCGGTCGGGTAGGTGCCCGGGTGGATACTAGTAGGTGCCTGGTTGGGGTATGTGCTTGGTTGGGTACGTGTCCGGCTGATGGAGGTGCCCGGCCGACGGAGGTATGTGAATGTGGCAGGTCTGGATAAAAGAGGTTAAATTGTACCTAATAGGATTCCTGCATGCATTGACACAATTGCCACTTCACCTTGCTCTTCTATGGCACACACAGTTGAGAAAGAAATGCTGTGCTTGATATTTGGCTTTCAGAAAGAAAAAGAGACTCTCGTGGAGACCGGCCCTCCTACCATGACCGGCGAGACAAAGAAAATCCCCCGCAGTCCGTTTATCCTGCGCGTTCGTGCTGTTGTCATTGAAAGTGTTCTTGCCCGGGACTTGATCGCACTAGTGCTCATCCTGCCAATCTGTGCGTGTGCACTCATCAGCTCGGTGAGTTGTTCCACTTCTTAGCTCGCTCCTCATGCTCAGTTGGTGATAATCAATGTACGATTTCCTGCATGACGGCTCAACTGTGCTGCTGTTCATGGCCTTATCCAGCCAGTGCTTGCCCCAAGGTCATACACACGCACGCTCGTACGTGTGCGTGCGCACCCACATACACACCCACGCATGCACACACATACACACACACACACACACACACACACACACACACACACACACACACGTACGCACACATGTACGCACACACGTACGCACACATGTACGCACACACGTACGCACTCACATGCACACACACACACACACACACACACACACACACACACACACACATACTGGTCACTGGTCCAATTTGTCAGGCTTGTCCATGCGTGCAGGCACACCCAGTAGACTCCTTGCCTTACTTACGTTTTGTGGTGCTTGGTGCTTTTAGGCTCTGTGTGACGTCAATCATGTTGTCGAGGTAAGACATGCTTCAGAGTTATAAGTCCAATTTTCTTCTCTTTGGATTGAATTGCAGGCAGGCACAGTCTGTTGAGAAACATCTGAAATGAAAATTGCTTCCCAGGGATGTATTTATCCGGTATCGCATCGCAGTTTGCTACGCAAAATTGATCTACTGCTACTCAAAATGACAGTGACACGCAGAAAACTGCCATACATACACATACAGGATATCCATGCCTTTTTTTTTTAAATCTTACGCCACAATTGAGATTTTGCGTAGCAAAAACTGCTATGCAAAACCTGACAGTAAATTAATCCCTGTGGGAAGCAATCTGTCCCATGTTTGACATCCTCTAAAGGTTGGGGACAGGGGGTGGGGGTTCATGCACCCCGGCGCTAGTTAAGCACGTTTACACTTCTCATAGTCCGATTCAACTCTCGAATTTTTGCAAATCTTATCTCCTCTCGTGGTCTTCTTTCAAAGGCGACAACGGAAAATGGGGCCGCGTCTACACGCCTTTGCCTTTTAAAAGGACCGCAGCTATTGGGCACAACACGTAAAAACTGAACAGCATGCATGACAGGTTGGACACGGTACGGTCACTACGGTATTGACCGTAGCACTTTTTGCCTCAGTCACCACGTTAATCAATAAAATACACTGATCTGGGCTCTAAAATTTCCGAAATTTTCGGCTTCAACTCCTCTCCCTTGAGTAAACTGTACTTCAGATGGCTGACCGTACCACACTAAAATACCTTCCGACGCCCCTGCATAATAAGGTAGAAGTCCCCAGTTCCGCTCCTGGTGACCTCATGACCCACTCAACTGTTTGAGCGGTTGCTCTGTGTGTAACTGCAGGAATGCAATGGTACGTTCATAGACTTTAACCGTACGCAGAACGCGGACAGCTTTTACTGTGACTACCCAAGCTACTACGTTTTCAGTTGCCTCCTCGCGTTGAGCACATCCACAATCTTCCCCGGAATGCTGTTCCTGGTGAGGGCGCCAGTGCTTTTCCTTGTGGGTACTGTCATGGCGGTGGTGCTTGCAATTCCTCTCAGAGATTTGTTCCTAGTCAGCGACTACCGACGCCAGGGCTTCTATTCCAGGTTAGTGTTACATTAATGTGACTGTGTGTGTGTGTTTGGGGGGGGGGGGGGGGCTTATTAATGGCACTGTTGTTGAAAAGCCGAGTAGCGGGGAATTAGCTTTAGAGTTTGTGGTAAGGCTCCGTCTTCATTGCTAGATTGTTAGTGTTAGGGCTGGGACTTAGCGTCTTAGTTTTAGTATTTGTTTCTAGAAAGACTGACATACCGGCCCCACAATAAGAAGTCAATACAAGCTTAACTAGCACTACTGAAAGAATCAGACCAGTAAGTATATTAGTGAGTAAGTTGTCGTTAGCCGATGTAGGAAGTTCCTAGTTGACGTAGTCGACTCCGTCCGCAGACGGACAGTCAGCGGTAGCTGATGCCTGAGTGCCATCATGCTAGGCAGGGACGGCCAGATCTGGTGAAGTAGACATTGCCGGGGTGGGTGGTGGTGGTTGTGTTTGTTTGTGTGTGTGTGTGTGTGTATGTGTGTATGTGTGTATGTGTGTGTGTGTGTGTGTGTGTGTGTATGTGTGTGTGTGTGTGTGTGTGTGTGTGTGTGTGTGTGTGCGTGCGCGTATGTATGTACATGTGTACATGTGTAAATGCATGCACGTGGACACTACTATTGTTGATGTCTTGATGTCCCCCTGCAGCGTTGCTATCCTGGATGATACTGCTTTTGAAAGCGTGTTCATGCTCTGCCTCTATGTGGTTATCGTTATCTGGCAGTCGAAGACGGTAAGCTGCTGTGCAGTTTAGCGTACATCAGTATGGCCGTGCAGCTCATGCAAAACTCTACTTTGAAGTACATGTAGATTAGATTTTCTCCAGTCTATAGATGTCTGTTTTGATGGCACACCTATATACAACAGGAATCACGGCCAACTCTCGGCAATGTGGTGGTGATTTGACGTCCAAAGCCTGGGCTTGCCCAGCTTACTGAAAACGAGTTAGACCATTGAAGGGAGGGGGGGGGGGGGGGGGGGAGATATTCTTTTGAGTTCCACTTTGAAACTTCACGACATATTTTTTTACGAAGGGTCTGCATATATATGTCTTATGGTGTACGTATGATGTCATCAGCTTCCGTTAGTCCCAATCAGCCCTCATTGGCTATTTTCTTGTCTGAAATGCCTTTTGTGTTTTGCAGATGGATATGGCACATCGGCTGAGGTATCAGAAGGAATTGGATGTGAGTGAGGGAAATGGTGGTGGTGTGGACGTGTGTGTGTGTGGTGTGTGTGTGTGTGTGTGTGTGTGTGTGTGTGTGTGTGTGTGTGTGTGTGTGTGGGATTGTGAGTAGGGAATGGAGATCTACCAGTAGGACTGGGTTTATTTTGCCCCCGTGTGATATTCTCACTTCCTGCTGTGTTCGGCGGTATCAACCCATTGGGCTAAGCCGTGCACGGCATCAGTTCCCCTACGGCCCTTATTCATCAGCGGTGACGACAAGTATTGTTCGTTTACCGCTTTGTTATTCATTGTGCGGTAAGTTAGTGTGATGTAAGTCAGTACTCGGATTGGAAACCGTGCGGATTGGAAACCGTGCGGATTGGAAACCGTGCGGATTGGAAACCGTGCAGCAGCTGGAGATCAAGCGGAGTTGTTTAGCAGTGCAGCGCGTTATATGCCGTGTTTCCGCCTACTCGTTCATCTGTTGTGCTGTAAGAATGGATTGTCAGTTCTTACGTCTTGGCAAATGTCTGCAATTGCAACATGCATGTGTGTATGGTTGTTGTTATGCCATATGTGCAATAAGAACAACATCAGCAACACTGAACAACAACAGCAGCAGCAGCAGCAGCAACACTAACAACTGAACACATTGTGTTCATTTCCCCTGTGCTGTATGTAGATCAACAAAGCAATTGAGAACCTAAACCAAATCGAATCCATCAAGGAATTGGTGTTGGAGAATATTCTTCCCAAAACAATTGCCGACTATTATGTGAAGTTCAAGGGTGACAACGAGCAAGACCCGGTAGGCTTATTATTATTATTGTATTAATATCTCGTAGCATGTCATTGAGACTGCCACTGCATAATGTAGAGATATGGGTGATTGCCAATGAAACAAGAGAAAAGAGAGCTAGTCAGTGTACGACTATAACAAGAGACAAGCAGAGACTTGGACCGTATGGTGTCATAAAAGAAGAAAGCTAGCCAGAGTGCAACAAAAACAAGAGACAAGCAATAACTTGAACCATAATTCTGGTATCCTAGGCAGTAACTTGAGCTAGAGACTGGTGACTTGGTACACTCTCTAGCCTTTGCATGCATATCTTATATTCTTGATAGTTTTTGATGTATGATATAATACGAATAGAAAAGATGAACACAGACCCCCCCCCCCCCCCCCCAAGGTAGCAGGTAATACAATTGCCCTAGTTGACGAGCGAGTACTCAAGTATTCGATACCATCATTTGTTCCACCAAAACTCGGTGGTTAAAAGCATCGCTGGCCTCACGCGAAGGTCTCTGGTTCGAGTCCTGGTGGTGACAGTCAATTTTTTCTCTAGACTTTTCCCGCTTGCATCTTTTCCTTCAAACCCATGAATCATTTGTTCCCTAGTTTAATTCCTGTACGTGCAATTGCTCATTTTTACATGCTCTTTCTGATGACGGTACACCAACGTGTATCTTCTCACAGGATGAGCTGTACGCGGAGAAGCATGACGACGTATGTGTGATGTTCGCTTCCATTCCGGATTACATGGGTTACTACTATGAGATGGAGAAAGAGAACAGGACGGCGACAGATGGTGGACGCGAGTCTCTCCGAATCTTGAACGAAATCATCTCTGATTTCGACTCGGTAAGGAGGCAGCGGAACACTATACCTGCAGGAGTGCTACTACCAGTCATCTGCAATCGCAACTCTGTATGGCAATCCAAGCGTTTTGACACGTATTTCGTGCTGTGGTCATGTGTTTGGATAGTTGAAATGCAGGATAGTTGAAATGTCGGATTACCTGAAATGTCGGATAATTGAAATGTTGGATAATTGATATTTTGGATAAATGAAAGTGTTGGATAATTGAAATTTGAAACTCGGATGTTGAGCCAACACTTGATGTAGAAGAAGAGGGACACATGCGTACAAGTTAAGAATACCTGTCCACCGCTCTAACTAGATACCACAGTGCTATGCAGTCAGAAAGTACTGCGGTCAGAAAGTACTACAGGTGGAATCCTGATAATTCGAATATGGCTTAATTCGAACATACCGCTTAATTAGAAGTTTTTCCAGGACCGATTTCTATCAATATGAGTCCCACATAAAAAATTCTGATAAGGCCAAACTAAAGAAGGTGTGTGGTTCGACTAACATGGACATTTTTTTACGGGCGGGCGGGCGGATTTTTTTTTAAATATATATTTTTAGTACATGTAAATACACTGTACTGCCTTTAGACACCCAGTACATCGGCATTATTACGCAGTGTTAATGTTATGCCATACATGTTGTATAAAGGGATCACTGGCTAATATCTTTACTTATAAAAGAGAGGCACCTGTGACGTGTGTCTGTGTGTGTGTGTGTGTGTGTGTGTGTGTCACGCTCCTTATAAAGAAGAGGCACCTGTGACGTGTGTTTTTGTGTCACGCTGAAGCGCTGCGGAGCAGCGCTGCCCTGAGCACGCGAAGCGTGCGAACAGTGTAGCACAGTGTAGCTAGCGGCCGCAGAAGCACTGAGCACGCGAAGCGTGCGAATCGTGTAGCTAGCGGAAGCAGCCACAGAAGCACTGAGCTCATGAGCACGCAGCGTTCGAATCGTGTAGCCACCACCACGTGCTGAGCACGCGAAGCGTGCGAACAGTGTAGGTACGGTGGTAGCGCTATACTTATACATAGCAGACACGATCAGTACGAGTAGCAGTAGCAGCCGCGCGCAGAAGCACTGAGCACGCGAAGCGTGCGAATCATGTAGCCACCTAGCCTAGGCCATAGGTAACACTACTAGCAGCCGCACAAGCGCTGCGGACCACGTGAACCGTTCTCTGCAAATACATAGAAACATCTGCAACAAAAGGATACAAAAGATCTGCACTGACTGCACTCTGCATCTGATCTGCGGTGAAGAGCGCATCGCACTTTTGTTCGTAAGTTTATGAATTTTTTGAGCCGCTTCATCCGCCACCAGGTGATGGACAACCCTGACCAGCCTCCCGAAGGCGTAACAGACGTCCCTCCTTCTCCTTCCAACGGCAACGATGAAGAACCTCCCTCACCAGGACTTCAGCGGTCTGGCCACCACCACGTGCTGAGCACGTGTGCTGTTCATGTACTTGCTTCACCCGCATGCCACATTCGGCCAGGCAACGCTGGCGGGGGTGCTGCTAGTGTTGTATAAAGGGATCACTGGCTAATACTTTGAAACATTGTGTAGCTCTGGAACGAGAAGAGAATAACTTCAAGCGGTGACTCTGACTGTCCAAATCATCAAGCAAATGAAGAACGATGCGAGTTGAAAGTAAGTTCGGGAACTACTTCGAACTCAATCGAAGTACAAATTGTACAATGCACCGGTACATGTATTGCTAGTTTGGTGTCGGCATGCACGAATACATGGGCTTTTTCCATCGACGCTTCCTGTGCTTGCACACATGGAGCAGCAACTTACCGGTACAGGTGAAATATCGTTCCCGATACACGAGGAAAGTGCAATCTCGTCTGTCCTTCATCCCAAAACAGAAGGCCGTCCTTAATCTGGAACGAGGCAATCACTCTCAACCGGACGGTCACTTCAAAATAAGTCTCGCCAGTCTGCCGGTGGTCGTATCGAGTAGACTCTACTACCAGCACAAGGCAGCAGTCGTAGATCTACCACTCACTGCACTGCACTGCAGTACAGCTACAAGTCAAGTCCAAAAGGAGCCGCCTGCGTCCGCAGACTCACGCTGCACAGCACGTAGACGTGGACGTGTTCAGTCCACGTAGGTCTACGTCAGTCACACGACAGCCCGCCGAAAAAAAGTTACGGTCGGGCTGAAAAATGTACGGTCGGTCGGGTGAGTCGAACCACAGACCTTCTTCAGTGTGGCCTTATTCGAACCTCAAACTGGATATGTCCGGTTAATCCGAAGTCCCACAAATTCCACTTACATAGAAAATGTGTGGGATTTGTGCTGATAATTCGAAGTTAGCAAAGTGTAATTCGAAGTTCACTGTACACTGTACTGGTCAGTTCAGTTTGCATGAGCAGGCTGTGCCGGTCAGTTCAGTATCCGCTAAATCTGTGTCTAAGGTCCATACTATACACACCAAGGTTCAAGTCGAGTTCAACTCGAGTGACAGGACTGCACCCAAAAAAGGTCGAACAGGCTAGTAAGTTGTACCCTGCAGGCACGGTGACCAGGTGACTGGTGTACGCAGGAGCACGTGACCGCCTGTTCAACCATGTTCGATTGGGAATAAAGGAGGAACGCTGCATCGCAGCCTTTTCGGACCAAAACCAGTCGACTCAGCGTCCAAAAGACTACAATATATGGGCCAATCGCGGTCATCCGTGCTTTTATAAGAACGAAATGGCGCTTTTAGTGACATTTTGCATACAAATCCCCATCTAGTAGGGCGCAGTCACCCAGTTTCGGTGGAAGTGCGCGAGTTCGATTGGGATTCAAGTAGGAAGGGAGCGTCTCAGCTTCCTCGGACCAAGACCATTCGACTCAGCACCCCGAAGACTACAACTGGTGAAAATTTGATTTTAGGGTATACTTCCCCTTTAAGTTTTTCCTGGCAATTTGAGGTTCAAATTATCAAGATTCCACCTGTACTAGACACAAAACTGACAGAGTGCTGAGACATGCAACGACCTGACACCTAGCTCCAACACATCTCCCATGCGCTAACCAGTCTTCCAACTCTGAGGGTTCTAGGGAGAGACCAAAGAGGGGAAGGTGAGCGCAACAAAATGAGTTTAAGGCTTTAAGCCAAGTCCCACGGGAACAAAGAATGTCACTGGACGATGACGAGACCAGTAAGATACTTGACAAAGCGGTCTCACTACAATTTGAAGCAGCAAAGCAGCACACAAAGCTTCCCCTTCTGTATTTATCTTCGATATTAGAATTTTTGAGCCACCCAAGTTGGGTGGTTTTCTGGGAGAGACATCCTGTGATTCAACTCCATGATTTTCTATTGCAGGTTCTCAGCAAGCCCAAGTTCCGGACTGTGGAGAAAATCAAAACCATTGGTGCCACTTACATGGCTGCTTGTGGATTGAGTGGACAGACCTTGAAGGTAGGTTTATGTTGTGGTAGACAATTTGCCTGTTTGGGAACATCGTAGCGTGCTAGTGCAGACCTGGCTGAATATTAAAGTCAAGTTCTTCTTAGTAGTAGTACAGTCAACTTTGCGGATAACGCCATTTGGTGGGGCATCAGAAAAGTGTCCTTATTCGCGAAGTGTCCTTATACCCGAAGTCCCATTTGAATCATGGTATGTGAACCCATATTTTGTATAGTAGATATGCATATCAAAATAAAGCTCTTTTCATGCTCTATGCCAATGTATACTTTACATTGGCATAGAGCATTCCGTGGTACTGCCCAGGCCACCATTCACTGAGACTTGATGATAGCGATCAGCCAGATACATGAGCTCGCGAACCACCGTAGAGCCACACCCGACACGCCAACAGCCTGAAGGTCGTGCAGAAGTTGGTTGTGTCGAACCCTGTCGAATGCTTGCGACATATCAACAAACACAGCACCACAGTACCACAGTACAGGCCTTCGTCAAGCGCTCGCTGCCAGCGGTCGATGGCCGAAGCAAGTGCATCTTCGCAGGAATGCTTTGCTCTGTATGCGAACTGCTCAGGGGGCATAGCCCCAAGCTCTTTATTAATATTGTGAAATTCCATTGGGAAAGATGAAATAGGATGGATTGCATGGGTGATCAGATGGGGCCTGTGCAAAGAAAACACGCGGCATCTACATCTACATGTACTCGTAAGATATAAATTAGAAAGATAGGACTCCATTTTCCAATGAAAACGTCACTGTTGTGTTAGCAAGCACACTGCATTCTGTACTTCGTTTTTTTATTTCTCTTCACAGTTTGAACAGTGTTCTTCTGCATTGTGTGTTTGTTTGACAGTGTAAGACTGATGGGGATGACCCACCTGCCGTTGTGTTTTGTTTGACAGTGTAAGACTGATGGGGATGACCCACCTGCCGTTGTGTGTTTGTTTGACAGTGTAAGACTGATGGCGATGACCCACCTGCCGTTCAAGGTAAATTCAAACAACAAAAGAACTTGGAAACAATGATTGAATTTGCCGCAGCCATCCAGAAGGTGTTTGGACAAATCAAGATTAATGCGTTCCTTGAATTTGATATGCGGATTGGTAAGAAAATGACTTTATCTCTCCAGTCTCTACTTCTCTCTAACCCCCTCTTTGTCTGTCTGTCTGTCTGTCTGTCTGTCTGTCTGTCTGTCTGTCTGTCTGTCTGTCTGTCTGTCTGTCTGTCTGTCTGCTGTAAGTCTACACATTTTCGGCACGTTTAATTTCGACCTCCCAGGCGGCTAAAACACATTTCGGCTACATTAAAATTTCAACCTGTTCTACTGCTGTATGTGTACGCGGTCCGAGCACGCTGAACCTTGCACCTTGCATTGGCTCAACTCGAGTGACAGGAACAGGTGCTAACAGGCTGTTAAGTTGTAGCATGTGGGCACGGTGACCAGGTGATCGGTGTACGCATCGGCACCTGACCTCTTATTCAACCGTGTTCGATTGGGAATAACGGCCGAGCGTTGCATCGCAGCCTTCTTGGGCTAAAAGCAATCGACTCGGCGTCCAAAAGACTATAGCATATGGGCCAATCTCGTTCATCCACGCTTTTATAAGAACAACATGGCGCTTTTAGTGACATTTTGCATGCAAATCCCCATTTAGTAGGGCGCAGTCATCCAGTTTCAGTGGAAGTGGCGAGTTCGATTGGGAATATAGGAGGAAGGGAGCGTCTTAGCTTCCTCGGACCAAGACCATTCGACTCGGCACCTTGAAAACTACGAGTAGTGACATTTTTATTAAATATCGAACTCTTACAGGTATTGTTAGGGGCCGGCCGGAGTCCCGAATGCTTTTTTAAAGCGAAAATATTTTGTTTGGGGTGGGTGGATTTGGGGGGATTTCATTTTGAAAATAATAACTGAAGGCACAAACTACGAGCAAATGTACGAGTGTGTGATCTTGTCGTACAAACCCGCAGCTCAAAATTACACAACGTGCACTTGTACAATGTATTTGTAGACAGACACAGCGCTCGGAAACACCCACGCGTGGTGGATTCCGAATCCAGTGTACTGCATGCTATTGTAACTTAGTGGCAGTACCCCATCCCACCACCATGTCAGCATATCTTCCAAGTCTATCCTTCTGAAAAATACCAACACTTTTCGTTTTGAAAAAAATCAGGGACCCCAGACGGCTCGTTACGGGATTGTATTTAGAGAAAGGCATACCGTACCATAACATTCTCTTTTACTGAAGTATAAGCGCTGTGCTTTAGTACAAATTTTCAACACACCGCTATCCCGCGCTTATATTGGAGACCATGCTATATTTTTTCCACTGATAACTCCATACAGAGCAAGAAGAAGTACAATGCTACTTCAGTAGATATCATGCACGCAACACTGAATTCAAACAAGACCGTGCTCAAAATAGAGACTGTGCTTATAATGTTTCGAAAAAGTGCTCACAGTGTGCTAGTATTAGACAGCTGTGCTAGTAATGGAGATATGTGCTTGTATGATAGAGAATATACGGTGTATGGGGAGCCAGCCATGTTTGGAGGAAACGGTACACAGGACCCTAACGGAAGTCTGCGTACTTCGGCTGCTTTTGCAACAGGTATGAATTGTGGAACGGTTGTCGCGGGTGTCATTGGGCGTAGCAAGCCCCTGTACGATATCTGGGGAAACACGGTCAATGTGGCATCACGAATGGACTCCACTGGGGGTCAGAGTGAGATACAGGTGAGTAGACACTATGCATAATGACCAGACTCTGTGCTCCTTAAATTCAATTGTTGCAGTGTTTTTTTAATGTTGATTCGTGTCGTGTGTTGCCAAATTGTCCTGCCTAAGGCTATGAAAGACTGGCATATCTAATGCTGTATGTGTGGTGCTGTGTCCAATATCGTGTGTGTGTATGTGTGTAGTGCTGTTTTCTATAAATAGTACACACTCCCTTAGCAGCGAGACCTGCCTGTTGTCGTATGCTGATTACGTCGCCACTGCCTGGCCAATTTGTTTCGTTTTCAGGTCACCGAGGAGGTAGCTCAAGTTGCCAAAGCCGCTGGTTACGATGTGTCTCTACGCGGCACGGTGTTTGTGAAGGGCAAGGGAGACCTTAAAACGTACTACATTCTAACCGGACTATCACTGCGGCTACAAGCACAAGAGAAAGCGGCTGCCAAAGCTAAGAAGGACAAAGCTGAGAAGGACCAAGCTAGCAAAGCTGAGCCGTCATTGTCACCAGCACTAGCAGCAGCAGCAGCTGCACCAGCAGCTGCAGCACCACCAGCACGAGCAGCAGGTGCAGGGCCGACGAAGAGTCTTGCGGCATCTAATACCGCTGTTACCCAGGTGGAAGAATCGACCGCTGATTCACGTGCTGCTGAAGCACCAGAACTGGCACCATCGAAGGTAAAGATACTGTAGGTCTAAACGTGGTGCCTGTGTGCCAAGTGCAGGTCCAGATCAGGTCCAGATCAGGTCCAGGTCCAGGTCAGGTCCTGTGGGCTGTGTGCTTCATTGCAAGCTGCATACTGGAAGTGTGTGCTAGTCAGGTTGCAGCAGGTGCTCTGTTGTGAACTAGGTATTGAGTAGCCGTACTGACTACAGATACTTATAACCCATGGGTCCTGGACTACTCTTAATATGCTGTCAGTGAAACTCTTTTCAAGATGTATGACAGGGTATTGTTAGCCTACTGCATCCCATAGCCAGTACAATCTTACTTCTTTGCTCACTGACCGTGATCCGGGCAGCCTACATCTAACCAATGCCACACTTGCCGGGACATGTTCGCAATTCTTCATATTTAAAACCGGACAGCGAGACCATTCTTTGCGTATACACTTCAAGGCGCATGGAGCTTGGTACCCTCTAGCCCTCATTCTCGATGGGTCGGTGAATGTTTTGTTCTGCGCATTTGGTCCACTGGCCAGCACCATGCTTTCTCCGCTCTGGTAGTTGTAACACCTGTAGTATAGCAATATCGTGTCTATTTATTTAGCTATGCTTAACACGTTTTGGTAGGTGGGTGTGCACTGCGTGCTTGTGTGCATGTAGGGAGCGTTGCATGAGAGATAACTAATCATTAACAACAACCGGACACAGGGATATTTTTTAGCGTGCAGAGAACGGTGTGAAATTGTTTCTAGGATAAAACGTAACGTACCAGCCACTGCCACTGTCATGAGTTCTACCTACTACCTACTAGCCTGCCTAACAATCTCAGTGTTAGTGTCTATATGCTACTACTATTACTACCACCACTACTACTACAATTGACTCTTAGTTCCCGTCTGTCATTTCATAGGTAAAAAAATGACCTAGAAACTGTTCCCTTTTTTTGTTATGGAATTCTCATTCTACTCCACGGCGCCAGTCGACTTGTATCTTGTGAAATTGATATCCGGCGGTATGCACTGACACTGACCGGTAGGCTATATATCGTTTGCTGCCAGCACCATGGCCTGGTCTTGATTGAGGCGCGTGCCGCTTAAACAATCGTGCTTGTACTTAATTAATAATAATATTACTGTCTAACGCATGTGGAACACATTTTTTGGAATTCTCTCATTATAATAAAGTCTTCTGTCAAGTTTGGTGCGCGTTGTGAGCTCGGCTTCTTTTTGCCCAGAGCTCAGTTATAACTGAAGTGTGCTTGATTGATGCAGATCCTCCCCCGTAGTGCACATGAGAGGCCTGAGTGCTTTATTTTCGAGCCCATTGTACTGGGAATGGTGTTGCTACCATTCGCAACTGTGAGTAGTGTCAAGTAGTGTGGTATCCAGGACAGTTCTAACAGTGGTGGGCGTATTTCAGTAAGAGACTGCATGCGGTGCAATCTCATCTAAAATAAGAACGGGCGCTGCTTCCTTATGAAGTTATGTGTTTTATTAGCATGGCTATAATTGTAGGGAGTACAGCGACCGTCGACCGTCGACATGAGCATAGATGGAGAGATCGAGAATTATTACCAGAACATGCAGTGGAAACCACTTTCATGGCTTTCATATGGCAACTCAACATTCAACACGTTTTTACACTTCTCGAAGAATGAAGTTGAAGACACCAATGCAGCAGTACTTAAAAGTTATGGTTGATTTAAATGCTGGTAAAAACATACAGCAGTATGGGGGTATGTATAATACTGATGGTGGTGGTGGTGGTGGTGCAGGGGCGTCGAACACGGTACGGTCAGTACGGTATTGACCGTACCACTTTTTGCCCCGGGTACCCCGTGAATCAATAAAATACACCGATCTGGGAAATTTTCGGCTCAGCCACCACTCACTCCCCCCACAGGTAAATCGTACTTCAGATGGCTGACTGTACCACACTAAAATACCTTCCGACGCCCCTGTGGTGAGAAGGAGAGCTCTGTGCTAGAATAACATTGCGGCCTAGAGAGCGTGTGAGGGCAGGCGTGTATTTGCCGCCATGCTGCCAGGTGTGTTTTAACCACCATTTTAATCAACTTCCCGAAGAAACAGAACTCCACCTACAAAATAATGTGTATTTTCATGGTTGGGCGTGATCCACACGCACGCACACACCACCACCATAATAGCCTACATAACTGTATTCTATAAGCAATGTATAGTCGATTAGGTGATTATTATGCATTCAGGCTCTCAAGTACATGTATACAACAGTCCATATACTGTTGCATAAAAAAAACACAGTGCTGGACAGTGTATGCACATGTAGTCTATGTGCTTGTAACAATTTATTTGGCCGTCAGAAACACCCTGTGAAATAGGGTCACAGATGCAGCATCAACATTTATCAGCTTAGAAGGGAGAGGTCGATCTGCGTGACAGACTGGTACGTCAATGAAGATGACCTGGGCGAGAATGACAGACAAAACACAAACCGTGACTAACAATGGTAACAGCAAATCAAATTCGGTCAAATTGTGCCTTAGACTGCTGGCTGGCATGCATGAGTACGCACATGTGCACACGCACGCACCCCGCAGATGAACACACACACACACACGCATGGACGCGCGAATGTACACATACACACAAACACACACGCACACACCCAGAGGCACACACAAACAAGCAAGCATGCACACACAAAAGATGCACACATAGTGACATAATGTGATTGAGCACATGCATGCATACACCATGTACCATATATACGCATACACAAAATTTAATACAAACACACACACACACACACACACGTGCACACACACACGTGCACACACACACACACACACACACACACACACACACACACACACACACACACACACACACACACACACACACACACACACTGACAAACTGACATACATGCATTTCTTGACTTACTTCCTCTGCATGTGACGTTACTGACAACACCAGCCGTGTAGTGTGTTTCATAGCTTCCACTTGTCAGTGTTATCTGACATTCAGCCACATTATTCGTGTAGTCTAGTTCTGCAGCAAGACGGTTCGGGTTAGTGCCAACCTGCAATTTTGGTACAAGTATAAAAAAGCCAAACATCATACTTTGCTTTGTTTTTGATACACACAAAGTTGTTGGTGGCTGATCGCTCACACAAAGCATCTAGACTATAGCCAAGGTCCCTAGTTAAAGTCCAGGTGGTGACGGTCAATTTTTTCGTCAGACTTTCCCTTTTCTTTAAACAGTATTTACACTGTGCTTGATTGAGTTGATCATGGAATTACGTGACATACATCATGTTGTACATGTACAACATCTTTAAAAGTCACCCAACAAGCCGCCGCCGCCGGGTAACAATTTCTATTTTCATGGCCACCACTGCTTCTCTGAATGTGTAATACCTGTCACCAGGTAGTTATGTGCTGTACCTGTACCTGTGTGTATGGGAAATGCAGCACATATCAGATCACGAGACCACATACGTGACCAGTGTGACCAGTGACAATGTCCATTCCCTCAAGTAGTGAATACTGAGTGACAATGGCATAACTTATTATGGGGTAAAGGGAGAACGCACTACTGCAATTTTAATTTTTTACGGTTCGCGTGAGACCTCAGTTTTCCACATCTGTATGAACATTGACACTCTCAATAATCAAGGCTCAGATGCAGCTCCTGAAGCAGTGGTAGGAGAGTAGATCAGAGTTGACTGAACTTGTCAAAGACCGAAAACCCTACTCACTGCCTCTGTGTTTCCCTTGTGCCAGACCAAAGTTCACTATTATCAGTTGGTCGCATCTGGTGCCCTCTGTTTCTCGGTCATGGTCTTAGACCATCCCACGGCACCCGCCTGCACGCACGTAGCACACATGCACCCATAAGCGCACACACACACACACACACACACACACACACACACACACACACACACACACACACACACACAGTTCAGCGTTCACCTACCCTGAGCGTGTAGGTTCCGTCGGGAACACCCGTGATATCGATCCACTGACAGTCTAGATCTCGCCCGTAGATGTCAGCACATCGCAGACTAATGCCCTGGCGGTGAGCCGCACAGCTATAGTAGATACGGCCAATCTCAGCATCACACGCCGTGTCTTCCAAGCAGAAACTAGCCTGCAGTATAGTCAAAGGACAGAAAATTTAATAACCAAGACATTCGTCCTATAGAGTACACTAGTGGACCAAACACAGTGCATGAAGAGACTGGAATCTACCTTTCACAATCATACAACTCATCACAATAAACCGCAATGAACAACAATGACAAGAAAGCCCAAAAACAGCAGCCAAGATCACTATAATCACTGTCCGGAGTATCAGTGTAGACTAGTATTAGTAACTGGACATGCAATCGGTCACCTACCGTCTATACATGACAACAGACAGGGGAAGGACTATGCCGCGAATGGGTGAAAAAAAGGATAAGTAGATACAGGATTGGACAATCGTTACAGCCGCTGAGCTCACCTTATGTCCCTCAGCCACATGCTGACCACTACCATCCAGTAGGTCGTACGTGGCAAAGTTATCAAACGAGTGGTAGTGGCTGTGGCAAGCGTGCCATATCCACGTGGGTCGTGAACGCACCGGGTGGAAGTCGGCCATGCCGTAGTTACGGATCATCACGGTGAAACGGAGCAACGCTCGCCGGTATGTGCCCTGCAGTCCGGCCTCGAAGATGGCATCCGCCGAGCTCGACAGGCATCCCTCCTCGTGGGCACACTCCAGCGAGGCCAGTGTGTGGTACTGGATGTCATGCAGTGAGTGCTCCAACTCATGCAGGTCAGGCACTAGGTCAGGCAGTGCTGAAACAGCAGCAGCAACAACATTGGCAATGATCACAATCACAAAAGCTAGTATCTCTTATTGGGTCCATTGTGAGGATGCAGGTTTGAGGCAACAGCAACAGCAGCAGCAGCAGCAGCAGCAACAGCAGTACTAGTGGCAGCAGCAGCAACATCAGTACTAGTGGCAGCAGCTAAACACAGGCGAGAAAAACTGACAGAGGTACCCATAGCAATGCACATACTCTGCGTTGCCGGATCCAAGCAGTCTTGTCAGATATCACCTCTAGAACACAGATAGATGCACAGTGAGACCCCTCCCCCCCCCCTCCGGACAGGTAAAATATTTTAGTACAATGTCTGCAATGTCTGCCTGCACTTCCTTGTGCTGCTTTGATGAGTCCTCAGAGAGCAAAGTAGTACTGTTCGGTGATAGAAAGAAAGTTAGCAATGCAGATGCATTTTCGGAAATCTTAAAAAAGACATAATATAAACTCACCATGAGCGCATTCCACTGCAGCAAACTTGCAATTGGGGCACTCAGCGCCCTTGGCATCGTATGTCTTGTACGCACATTGACTCAGGCCATACTCCTGGCCAGTGCAGCGCAGTTCCGACACAAATGCTGTCTCCCGATCCGCATTTTCTTCGTTCTCCTTGACAGGTGGCGCGGCTGTGGCCTTGGAAAGTTCCGGTCCAAGAAGTTGCTCGGGCAAGAGCAGCTCCGACCCTAAATCCACCACACTAGCGACGTCTGCTGCTCCTTCCTCGGCCTTCACTGTGCTGGGTGGGACAGTTGTTGTTGCTTTCGAGCCGGCAGCGCTGCTGGAATTGCAACCTGGAACCACGAAAAAGAGGAAGACAGGAACAAAAGTTTAAAAAAGGAGATGCTGCCACGAATCCAGTAGATATGTCTGCATCCGACCACTTGGGAACAATGGCGCTGTAGAACAGTGGAAGTCAGCTGATTGTTGAACCACACATACGTACATGTATTCTCTGTCATACCGGAGGCCAGTTAAAGATGAATATGTACATGTGCAGAATTCCAGCAGCACTAGGCTGGTGGCCAGTGAAGAGCTCAAGAGAAAGAAACAGGCTAGTTAGGTCAGGACGTGATATACATACTTTCAAAGATGTAAAAAGCATTGGCATAAACTGTGTCGTCACGCTAATATTCACACTGGCTTCATAACTTCAGTATCCTTCAAATATACCACCACCACAGGTGCTACTTGACACTTCCTAATGCGTTCGTGTAGAGATACACGTGTATACACGGGTACTTTAGTACATCAGTCCACGCATTCACAGCACCAAGACAATGCCATACTAGGCCCATAGTTGCATAGTCAACGTAGAGGTTATGTGCAATGTCAGGAACACCCCAATCAACACATCTGGTCAGCAAGGGGTAACGGATTATCAACATCACACATACAAATACAGCAGTGTTCTGCTTCATCTCCGGGGGCTAGGTTACCTGAGTATAGCTGTTTCCTGTGGACATGACGTGATATGTCAGGCTATGCACTGTAACTTATAACTTGCCTAGGTGTACGTGCACCCACACACCCTCCCCCCCCCCCCCCCACACACACACTCTCTCTCTCTCTCTCACGCACGCACGCACACACACACGCACACAATCAGGTGTCATTCATGGCTTGCTGAATGCAGGTGTGCCGCACTTGTAGCAGTGAAAGTACATGTACTTGTACCAGTATGTCTTGCTATTTTGCTACAACTTTCTGTGAAACACATATCATAGTGTAGTTGTATGCTGGTGACTAACGTGACATACCTGTGACCGTGAAGACACTGTAAACATAGCCGTATCCCAGTTGCCGACACGCCACCGCACCCGCCTCCAGATCCCAGTTGTCATCGGCGCACACCCTGCCCCACTGGTTATCGCCAGCACGCACTTGCACCAGGCCACGGCGGCGTATGGCAGGAGTGCGTGTACCACCGACTTCATCAGGGAGAATCTCCAGGCGAATCTTTAATTGAAGGCACATTATGGAGCAGATGATTATAATGCAATCAAATGTCGCTTACTGGTACTCAGTTGCCAGGTATCAGAGTACGTCCGATATACAAAAAAACTCAAGTAGTCATTTTTGGACTCCTTGTCATGGAGGTCTTGATTGTGTGAGTATGGTGATGTTAAAGGCAATAAGGACACAACTAGTTTAGCAAATTGTCGTCCAGAAACTCGAAATCTGTTATGCGTCAGGTGAAAAGGGGCAATGTCATCAACGCGGATAGGAATATGTGCTGCAATATCCCATATGTCCGTGTACAAAACAGTATGTCCAGAAAATCATACAATGTCAAACATGGCCCATTTCTGAAGTGGATTAGTGACATTTGCCTGTGTTGTGGAGATCAGTGTGATGCAGTGCCAGCTGGGGATTTATGCCAGTTGCTGACTCAGGTGATGGTTATTGCTGATCCCGGACCATAACGATACTCTGATCAGGGAAGCTGGCGGGTTTTTAAACACTCCATGATCAGCGTGACTAGAACTTGCAGAGAAGGAGAAGGAAGACTAGCATGATATGAGAAACAAGAAGTCCTGAAGCATGCAATGCCCTTGTATCAACCTAAACCCACACGGATAGTCTGCAAGACCTAGCCTGGCTTCGCCACTGAACTTGTTCATTGCATACGCACCACAGGGCCTCAATTACCCCGTGTATTTTCTATAAGGACAACAATTGTTGTTGGCTAACGTTACTACAGAACGTACAGTGCGTGCTTACATTTTTGCGGAGATCCTGTGTGTTGGGAACATGGCATCTCACACTGGCGATTCTCTCCCGATTGCATGGTCTCTCTCCCCAGCCGTTACGTCTACACTGCACTAAGTACCTTTCATACCCTGTGCACCGAATACCGCTCAGATGAATTGGAGAGTAGCCACGGCCAAAGACACGCGATGCAGCGTGTGGAGCGTCCGTAGCCGAGCCAAAACCCAGCTGCCGACACACCACATTGGCCTCTCTCAGGCTCCAGCCGCGGTCGCACACCACGCCCCACATGCCGTCGTGGTACACTTCCACGCGGCCTTCACTGGGAAAGGCGCCACCGCGCAGTCGCAAGCTGCCCTCGGCTTGCTTGTCCTGTGTGCCGCCGGATGTGGCGACCTTCTCGGCCTCGTAGCTAGATTGAGTTGTCCATTCCGATGCTTGGCACACCACACCAGCCACGCGGCGTCTTAAACAACGCTGCCTGGCAAGGCGTCCTGCAAAGGAGCATTGATGCAGGAATGATTCATTCCCGCTGCACCTGGGTCGCTTTAGCCATGCCTGTCTGCGCCGATCGGGTGCGTCGGGCCTGGCCGTGAACAGATACCTTGCTCTGGGGTAGCCTAGTTGCCGGCAAGCCACCTCACCGGCAAGATTAGCCGACCAGTCATCCGAGCACACGGCCTTCCATTCGTTGCACACGCGTACCTGCAAGTATCCCATGTTCGGCCGCGTCATACGGCGACCCTGGTACAGGCGTACTGCAGAAATATGCTGTGAGTCACACTGCTCCGTCGGTGTCTGTGAACTGGCACCCGTAGCAGCATCGGTATCCTGGCTAACATCACCACTCTCGTGAGTACACCGCACCATTGCAAACTGCTGCGGCAAGCAATCATGCACTCCCCAGCCATCGTGAGCACACTGCTCTAAGCTGCTCTCGTTGCCATGGCACTGTACATTGCTGAGCCAGTAGCGGTGCGTTGTTGTTACACGCCTGTACTCAGAGCCTGGGCAGCCATGTTCGGGACTCGTATCCAAGGGCAACGCCCCTGTGTAGCCCATGGCTCGACACACCACAGTAGCATCACGCAAGTCCCAGCCTGTGGTGCAGACGCGGCCATAAATGTCCATTCTGTTTATCACCACATAACCTTGACCAAGGGCCCTGCATCGATCTGTGGCAGGAATGCTGATACTCAGACGAAGTCGTTCCGGAGGAGTGCCTCCGCTTACATGGCTGATCACTTCTACAAGCGCCAACAGAACCACAAACAATAGCACTCGCGACATCGTGTATATGCACGTAGTGCAATGACGAATTGAACGGAGTGAACTCAAGAACTCGAACACACGAGCACGGTGACAAACGCACCACCCAAGCAAAGTCCGAGAGCGCCAGCCAACGTTTACATAATCATTATGTCTGCGATGTCTATAGTATGTGTTGTATCCAACAACTCTCCAAAGTGGTCGCAGTGAGGAAGACGAGCCAGGTCCAAATTTTCAAGATACGGAATAGGAATTCTAAGCCTGTTCGTCTAGCCAATATGTGCTGTCGCAATAGAACCAAGTTACTTTGATTGCAGTCAGTGGAGCGCTGCCATGGAGCTGGCTGTAGTCTACCAATTATTACTTGATTCGAACTGCTGGAACAATGGATTGGACACTTTGTGGCTGGATGCCAAAGGCACCCGCCGTCCATCATTGACATCTTGCCTATCGGACAACAGATGAATGGCGCACCGAGCTGGGATGTGTAGACTATCTCCGCGGCTGACCTCGCTTCTCTGCCCTCACGCGAGGCTCACGGCCGCCGGCTAGCCTAGACTAGAGCCATGGTGGTACTGGTAGTTGGGTAAGGGTTGGTCAGACTCGCTTACTTACTAGTACAATGATTGTGTAGTATCCTGGTACTATCCAGTTGTTGAATCCTTACTTCAGTTCAGTTCTGTTCTTCGTCGCGAGAATACCGGTAGTACAGGACTTGCCTCCTGCAACTGCTGCACTGAGTCAGTGGACAGACGTAGACAGGCACTACAACAGTACAAGTACATTGTACAAGAAAAACCTTCCTTTGACTGTAAATCTAAATGACTGTAATAATGACCTTTGTAGCAAAACCGTATAATAATTATTAAATTTTGAGTAACCAGTATTTAGTAGCACTAGCAGTGGTGAGGCTCCTGCAGCTTCACAACCAGTATTTACATGCAGTTATCATGGTTATCATTCTGTCCAGCTAGTCCACTTCTGATTTTCATCTGAGAAGACTGCAGAGTATATGCACAATGATGCCGGTTTGCAGCAACTACTGCCGCAGCTACAATACTGAGCAAGTACTTTTAAAAGTGTAGAGTCTACGCTGCTGTGAAAAAGGTTTGCAGCAACCATCATCTGATCATGATCATGATTGTCTGTGACAGATTGAACATCCGAAAGAAGTGTGAGCATGGTAAGTGAATGTCGTTGATAGTGATACCTTTGAATGCCATGCATTGTTGACCACATAATCATCATAGACGGGAGGTATTTCATACTTCACTGTGGCAAAACAATAACACGTGTGTGTGTGTGTGTGTGTGTGTGTGTCACGGTGTGTGTACATGGTACACTAGCATTGTACTAGTGTATGCTGATTGCCTTCGGGTATAATATTATATAAACTTTATTATGCGTCAAAAAGAGAAGAGTGGATCGATCTCCCTCTCACTCCACAATGCACTCTGGAAAAACAAATTCGTTTCTAGGACATATCTCACATGAATAATATAAACGGTGCGTGTAAAACATAAACGGCCTGTCCGGGGAGACGCAGCCGCAAAATTAACAATAGCAACAATAATCAACAGGTCGATGACACGAGCTCAACAATCAAGTTCACGGCAAACCAGAAACCTGGCAGAGGGTTTGGAGAGCGCGATGAAGAAAGGATGAAAACTTTAAAAAGAAAGTAACGCCAGGGGACGGGTAAGAAATAAAGAAGCGGCTACTAGAGAGTAGAGAGTAGAGGCCAAACAACTAGACAATACATAGTGCACCGTTGGGCAGGGCAGGGTTGATAGTTACAAGGCCAAACGCACTATACTAGTCCCAGGTTGAGAGACAGGCCTTGCTGGCCACCAGGCTAAGGCTACCAGAGTTAAGTACGAGATAATTTGCCAGTGAAGATACGAAAAACACATCCTACAGCCTGATGGGTCTGCACCCGACAACGCGACACGATACTATGGACGAGAAAGCATGCACGTGTACAAAAGAAGTACAAGGATAACGGAGAAAAATGTCTTGCGATCAGGACAATACTTCCACAAACCGGAGATCACCTAAGAGAGGAAAATGATGACATTGTGATATTATACGTGCGTACACCAGCCAGGGAAGGAAATAACTTCCAGAAGAGAACTCATTGATGTGTCCTAGAATAAGTTATAACAATTCTTTCACATACCCACACAGATGGAGAAAACGTAGAGTAAATTTTCATCAACGCTGAAACGAGGTCTGCAGTCCTGTCAATTTCAGTAAGTGTCTTTGTCATAGAGTGGGAGAATATACGTACTGATGGCAGGACAGAGAAAAAGAAGGTTTGCAGGACGAAGGACTGGTGGAAACACACAACGGCGGACGTTGCTCGAGACTAAAACGGCTACACACATCTACTCTGCAGTGATTCTGCAGCAGTGGCATGACACTACCTAGCCTACACTGTAATCACAGGTCAGGAGAAGTTCTGGGCAAATTTCTAGAACGTGAACATTTTTCTTTCCGCATTGCTCTGCTGAGTAGTCAATGTCAGCAGGCAAGCAGTGGCTGCATGTTAACAGGTGGCCAGCAACACGGGAGATCACACACACATACTCAACAAGATTAGGACTCGGAGGAGGTACACGGCGAGGGGCTATTTGGCTCGGTCGCAGCTGCCGCTGGCGGCGGTGTTTCCTGTGCTTCCTGTACTGTCGATAGCTGCGGGCTTTCACCCTGCGGGCTTTCACCCTGCGGGCTTTGATCCTGCGGGCGTTCACTCTTCAGGCATTCACCCTCCGGAGCTACTCCATTCGTTAGAGTAGTCGTGGTTTGAGCGCCTTTACTCAGTGCCTCTTCAAAAGCAGTTTCCACTACCCGGTCATGTAGACCAATCCAGATGCGTATTAGGTTGTCCAGGCCGTGCAGGTAACCATCCTCATGGTTACCCACCTCCCATTGGCTGAAGTGATCCACACCGATTTCCTCGTGCAGTTCGCACGTCTTGCCAAAGTCGATCATCCACACTCCGGCATTGCCGGTCTCTGGCTCACCGACAAACAACAGCGAGCTGCCGATGACCTGTGTGCGGGTTGCAGGGAAGAACAGCACGATAAAACATGCATCACATCATTATTGGTGACTTTTGTTCTGTTTAGCTGGATGCTTTCTCTGGACAAAAACTTCATGACCTTTTTATTCACATTCTAAGCCGGGAGTTGTTGTACTCAAGAAACTCAAGTGGAACAAAGTGGATATATGTTTTGAAGTATGCACACTAGTGTACAAAAAGGAATTGGCAAAGTTTGAGTCTTGTTGGGAGTGACCATCACTGGATTCCTAGGAGCTGAATTAACCGGGACCGACTATTCAAACACTAAAATCATGAAGTTATTTTTATTTCTGGAGGAAGTACAACTTCATAGAATAATGCATAACCAAGGAGTTGGGCTGGGTAAAGCATCCATTGCAAATACAAGCAGATAGTTCATACTGCAATGATCCAATTAGCCCACAGCCTGCAATCCATATTGCCGCTACAGCAATGAATATGCTGGGTTTACAAATGGCTTTCTGGGACAGATGGTCGCCTAATCAGGCCCCCTTGGCAGGTTCTACAGTGCTACTCAATGAAATCTGATCAAGCCATTCCTGAGTGGCACACCATGTACCAGGGCTGTGCAGCTCCGACACATGTGCGAATGCTGGGATGTGAACTGGTGCAGCGCGCAAACTTGACTCATGGATATTTATTAATTGAGCAGAGCTGTACTGCTAGGATTGGCCAGCTGTCAACACAAGTGCTACCAGAAGAAGCAATATCAAGACCACATCCGCATTCTCACTATACACACCTCGTGGTTCTTCAGAAAGTTTGAATCACTACACGCCAATCTGAAAGCAGTCAGCTCATGTAAACAGTTTGCCTGAGGGTGAGAAAACACACAGAAAGCACACAATCGCAATGAAAAACTGTCAAAGCCATCCATTATAGCGGGTCTATCGGCAGAATCAAGAGTATTTTAAGGTACAATTCTACCATACCCGTCAATAAGATTTTCAACTGACGAATAATGGGGGTCGACCTGTTTTATTTAGGAGACAATCACCAAAAATACTTCCGAGGAAATCAGAACGAAACAACACCAGCAGCATGCCTATACAGCCAGACTATCTATACTTCAATCAGCAGCCAGATCTATTTATTTTTATTTTTATTGAAAACCAAACCTTCAGACATGTGAATGTGCACATATAGAGTGTATATGATTGTGTATGTATAGAGAAGGCAGCACAGATGTTCAGTCACAAGCAACCAGTAGCAGAACACACCACACACACACACACAACATACCCATAACTTCGTATTGCCATGCAGGTACTGAAGGAATCGGTTTTCCACATCACACTCCTCGCGGACGCTCTTGAAATCCCGCATCGGCAGGCCGGTTTGAAGCTAAGGCCACGAAGAAGCACAGTAAGGCAAAGTCACTGCATTGGATGCACAGTGTAGAGGCCCAGTAGATACACAAGATAGTTCGTGCAAGATATACACGGAAAAGCCGAGTTGTGGAAATACAATCCTTGGGATGAGAACTAGAGCAGACTGGCCATACCTTTATTCCATCTATTCTGAATCCAAGTGTTGCAGATGAGCTCATCTGTTCTCTAAACTGCATGTATCTTGCTTTGGTGATTCCTTTGCGTTCCTTTTCCTCTTCAGTCGGTGCACTAGCGTCAACGGAAATCATCTTCTTGTACAGATCCTGCAGATTGTGCAAAGATACAAAAACAGTCAACTTCGTTAATAACGACTGCGGAGATAATGACAATTCGCTAATAACGACAGAATTTCCTTGCCCAGAGCAAAGTCCCATATAACTGTAATACTACCTCCGACAAGCGAAACTTGGCGCGTTTTTTACTTCAAATTACTCGAAATAACTCACACTTTACAATCAAAACTAATGATTGACTCCCTAAAATTCAACTTTGTATTGCTCAACAAGGACATTAGAGACATCTGTTATGCTGAACAACTCTCCCCTGATTCAGAGATCGCAGTTTCTTCTGGAGAGGAATTATTGTCCCTGTTTTGAGACGAAAGTGCGACTACAGCGGATTCAGTTGCAGCAAGTACCTCTGTTGTAATCGCTCTGAAAATCTCGATGTCGCTCCTGTGTGCAGTGCTCGAGCCACGGTGCCGAGGGTAGTCGTTTCCGCCGCCACTATCCAGATTGAAGTGGTAAGAACTGTGCAACACCTCCGCAAGCGCCTGGAGTCCAACTGTTTTGCAGGGTATTCTCGCCAACTGTCCAAATTGCCTGCAGCAATTCCTGGCGATTTTCCTTAGCCACCAGAGACGCATCGCTCTGGTGGCTGTTGAAAGGCACTAGGATTGTTTGGCATGGACGCATGGACTCTGTGCTGGCGGAGTGACCAAGAGGAGAGAGAGAGAGAACTCCTTGGTTTTGCATTGAAACGCGAAAGCACGACGATTCTCCTTCGCAGAATGGACGCGCGCACAGTTTTGCTGGTACACGAGAGACACGCATGCCTCTGACTAAGTCTGAGCCATGTGCACTAGGTCGTCGCTTGGCTTCCTGCACCCGGTTGCATGGAGCTACAAGTAGGTCGTACCTTACAGCCTTACAACACAAAAAAAATCAAAAAACGCGCCAAGTTTCGCTTGTCGGAGGTAGTACATATAATGAGACTTGGGGTATAACGACACTTCCCAAATAAGGACACTTTTCTGGTGCCCCGCCTAGTGTCGTTATACGCAAAGTCGACTGTACCCATCAACACGCACGCATGGACACACACACACACACACACGTACACACACACACACACGCACACGCACACACACATACACGCACACATATACATGCCCACAGTACAGTGGTTTAGTTCCACGTAGCATTGGCTAAGGACATGAAATACTAGCTGGTAGCTAATACCAATACAAACAGTACAGACAAATGCATCTTCTTTTCCTTTTTCTTTTTATCACAGTGCACCGGCATAGCTACGGGAAAAGGGGAAACACGACGAAGACAAAGCACAACTAAACAATCTGGAGAGGGTGCCATGACTGCAGCTACAGAGAACAACATCTTACCGATCTATACGATGGTTTCTCACCGGGCTTTATTTCATCTTCCAAGTAAGTTCTAAAAGCGTTCAAGGACAAAGGAGCAGAACCAGAACAGAAATCACAACCAGCAATTGTACAGAAAACCAGCTTTGCAAGAGGATTAGCAGACAGTGTCATTAGCCACACGCAACGCCTCAGTAGACTCTTTCTCTCTCAGTCTTCATCCGTCTGTCTGTCTGTCTGTCTACCTTTCATTCCTTACCTGGTTCCCATCTTTACGTCCATAACTATCGGGGCCTGCATGTCTGCCAGTAGGTCTTGCATTCGCAGATATGTACCAGCTGGTCAATGAGTCACCAGTCAAGGAAATAACACTGACAGAATGATATCAGGAACTTAGAGGCCACATGCCTCGTACTGCTCTCTTTCTCATCGAAACTCAACACTTGCAAGCCAGAATGAGAATGATATCATCTACATAGTATGCAAGCAACAATTTCCAACCACTTCACATAGTACAGAGACATAGGGTACGATTCACAATATAGAGGTCAACACAAGCGCACTTGCTTGCCGATACCCTCAAGGTAACAATCTTCATCAGTGCCATCTAAACCCTCACTGCATTAATCTGCCTCTTATCCATTCCTGAAGCCAGGACAACCAAGAACACTAGATAAGAAAGCACAGGTATGTGAAGCTGCTGTTGTCACACAGAGCAGGATACATCCTTCCACGGCGACCGACTGGTAAAATGTGGGAACAAATTTTGCCAGGGAATCGTCCTGCAGCTGCTGAAAGGCCTTGAGCTCACGGGGCGTTTCTCTCTTCAATATCGTGCCATTTACATCACCAGGAAGGAAGCTCCCTACAGCAACAGACCACAACACACAGAGTAGAGCCAGCGTGAGCCACTGTGACAATAAGCCTCATCCTGGGTATGGCCAAATGGAATGGCTCTACTGGAACGGGAATGGTTCTTCTCGGACAGGAATAGATCTACTAGAACGGGAATTCATTGCGCAGTACATCTGATGTGCAGCATGTTGCCTACTGGCTACACAGGCAATGAAATCATAGCATCAACAGCGCAGGTGCCATGGAATTTCCACATGGCACGCACATGGCATGTTTTCACAATCCAGCAGAGAGCACTAGCAATGCTACTTGCAACTAATTTTTCCCATGGCCACGACATGCCCATCCTGTAGCAAGGCCAAGGGATTACAAACAGGAAACTGCACACCAGAACAGATGCGTTCTACTGTGCCCCGTTTCTTGCCCAACTTCCAGGTGCTCCCACGTGGCCAGGGGATCATTGCTGGATCGATGCTAGCACTTCCCACCTACCCTTGCACTAGCAACACGCTGCTCACATGCAGGGGAGGGAAGGGGTATGGCAGACAACCCCCAAGATAAGTACCTGCTGCAATGATTTTGAATTTGTTGTCACCCAAGTACCACTCAAGCTTGGAGAGTGTACAAGAGCCACCCATGGGAAACAAGCCATAATATTAAAGGAATGGGAAACAGCATAAGGCAAACACGCAGGACAAGTCCCCATTGCCCGCACGAGAAAATGGAAGTGATCCTAAGTGCAAAGCTCAAACACTATAATGGGGTACATTCTTTGCTGCACTGGACGATAACTCCAGGATGGGGGAGTGGTGGCTTAGTCCCAGGATGATTACTTTTGCTTTCAGCCCACACCTTAGAGGCAAGGAGAGGAGAGCATAAGACATAGCATGGCACCACACATGTCATGTGCATGGACCCTGACACACTGGCACAAGTGCCTTACACAGCGATAGTGTGCCATATGCACAAACACACAGACGTACACCCACGCACAAACACACACACACACAAAACACACACACACGTGAAAAAAACACACACGTGAACACATCCACACACACACACACACACACACACACACACACACACACACACACACACACACACACACGTGAACACACACCTATACACATACACACACACACACATACAGACACGTGCACACACAAACACACAATCACAGACCATACTCACCACAATGGCCGGCAATCTGCACCCAGCCCACCTTGGACCGGTATATCCTAAGAAAAGGGCTGATCGCGTATACTGTCTTTCGAATAATATCCCAACCCTGCATGGCAAAAGACAAAGAACACACCACAGACAATTCAATTTCTGGCCCAAAACATAATCGCATTTGTAGACCCCACAATACAATCAACACCCCTTCCCAGCAGAGAATTAAGCCGGTGTCAGTTTCTGTCCACTTCAAATGCTTTCAGATAAGGTTGAACTGGATCAACTGGATCAGGAGCAGAATCATAAAACATATCACAGCATGGAAGATGCATGCGCAGTGCAGCTATGCTAAATGCTAACGGGTATCATTGCTAACAGGTATCATTGCTCACCGTCCTCTTTCTCCTGAGAGGGAGAGGGTCAGAAAATGCCCGCACAAGGGCCATGCTACGCGTTTGGCGGCACATTCGAACCATAACAAGAGGAGGACTTTCAGAAAGCTACTTGTGACAACGTCCAAGGCCCAAGCAGCACTGTTTTCAAAACCTACTCACACCGAGCATAAAATCCTACTGAGAGCAAGGTACGCTGAGAGCACCGGTATATAGCAGACGCAATGTGTAACTGTTAGGCAATGGCCCTATGGGCTGGGTTTCAACTTGGCATGCCACACGCATATCATTGCACATCATTGTTATCAACACCAGTGCACTGTGGTACTGCCCAGGGCTCTGCTGCTCAAACAATGGTGCAATCTGCACTGAACACTTCCAGGATGGTGCACACAACACCGTTTACCATGGGCACAGTGCACTGTATAGACAGCCGCCAATCTTCCTGTGCCAGTTCTTTCACAGCCTTTGCCAGCATACAACACACAGATCCTTCCCCAGCCCGCCAACAGCAGGAACCAGAATACTACCTAGGCCACCCGTCCAAACATCAACAAACCATGGAGCAATGCCAATGAGGACTGCACATGTCCCATTCAACAGGATACAGCAGGCAGTCTTAATTGTGGCATCCAGCAACTCAATACTACAAGTACAAATACGTACTAATGAGTAAGATGAACAAAAATGTAGCTTGTTTACAGACAGCCCTAGCTACAACTCACAGAGAGTGGATGCCAGCAGCAGACATGATGCTCTCTGGCCTTCTATTCATCCCATTTCAACTATTTTGTTGTTCTCTTTATTTGTACAATCTGTCTACTGACCAAGTTCACACAAGCCAACACAAAAAATCGTGATCGTGCTTGCATGGGGTACAGCCAGTACCAGTGCTACCACCATTGCCGGGCACCATGTGGGTGCTGTAGTAGTGCATGCCCCCCCCCCCCCCCCCCCCCGATGATTAGCACTCACCACCAACCCAATGGCACCGTGGAACAGCAAATAACTTTCATTGGTTTATAAGAGCTCTTTCTTTATCAGACTTGACCAGGCTGACACTATATGACAGACATCAAAATTCCCCAGTGCTCAACATCAAACACACTGAAAGCCACAATAATCAATATTCACTGTTTATTGACACCCATTGATAGTGGTCATGCCAATGCCAATGCCAATGGCTGCTACATGTACATGACAAAACTCTTTAGGCAGTGCGCAGACAGTGGCTGGGCTTGGAAGAAGAATTTGTAACAGGAGATGGCTTTCATTGCTGCCAGACAAGTCCAAGCCCACTGGGAATTGCTCTGTGAATCCAGAAAACATGCACACTCTTATTACTACTACATAGTCATTGGATGATTGGTAGTAGGAATTTAGAACAGTGCTGCACTGTACATGTACTGCATCCTGCTGCCACAAGCCACCATACTCCATAGTTCATACAAAACCAAGACATTCAGCAGTAAAACAGTACTACTACTAGTACATGATCTGGGACAGAGTAAAGGGCCAGCACTCCACTGTCTGTACACAACACAACAAGACTGCTGTCTGCACAGAGAAAACGAGGGCTGGAACACTCTCTATATTATTATTACTATAAACTGCAGCAAGAAGTACAACTGAGTCATGACGAAACGTACCAATGCAAACGGTACAAAGAGCACTTCTGCACTGTGCTGTAGTGTGAGATTGGATGTCGTCTTTCACGTCAAGCGCTCAATCGTTAGCAGTTCAGGATTCCCGAGGCAATGTGGTCAATAATAAAATTAATACGATGTACATGTACCACAACATGCGAATACCAGTACCTTTTCCAGAACTATTTCATCCTCACTCACAGACATTGCGCAGGATACTGGTTTCCATTGAGTTCTGCAAAATAATCCACAATCCTGCTTCGCTGCACTGAACTCTGAAGCTTTTACGGATACTCGCTAGCATAAATTAATCGTATACTGGCACTAGTTTTCAGCACTAAAATTGTGATTCAGCCTGGATGTAGAAAGAAGTAGTTCACCCGATCGACAGGCAACAAACACACTGATACGAGGCCTCGTCTTAGTTTTCACCACGCAGCGAAGTATCTTTTTTCGTGCAAAACGCCACTCAGCGCAACGTAACGTAAGAGCAGAGACGTAGACAGCTTGCTTCTCATTACTACTACTAGTACTAGACCCAGCGGCCGGTCATTCTCGTACTGTCAACAACACGACAGGAATTTTTCCAGGTTCAACACAGCAGCAGCGCCTCGGCCCCCAGGATAACATACCAGTTCCAGAAAGAAGATTTCCATCCTTTCGTTCACTTGGAAGCGCACACAACCGGGGAGTGTAGGTGCATGCAGGTTCGAAACGTTGGAATCGTGTATCGTCGTCTCATTCAAAGACATTCAAGCTCTACTCGTTTGGCAACGAGGTCACAACACATAAGCGCGTGCTAGTGATGAACTCGGACTCAAAATACTCGTTTGCTCGCACCAAACTGAACAAGAAAACTAACGAAAGCAACTCAGACACACTGACTTGTACATAAAACGAAAACGAGAGCAAACCAACTCCCTCTCTGTCAGTATCGCCGCCATTCACAGAAGAAATGAACGAAACTGACCAAAATAAATCATCCTACTAGTAGTAGTGCTGAGTAGATCTAGTACTAGCTAGGTTGCTGCAGGGTGACGACGCTATTCACACTTACGTGCCGGGCTTTTCTCTTCTTTCGATCCTCCGGACTTTCTTCATCACTACTGCTGCCGCTGTCGATGTCGGTCGGGCGTCTGGCGGTGGTTGCGTTTCTCCAGGGCTTCAAGTGATCACTGCTTACTGCCGAGTCGGCAGTAGCAGCACCCACAGATTCTCTCGGCTCGACCTCCACCGTGCCGACTGCCGCACCGTCGGTAGTGTCGATTGGAGCCAGATTACTATTGGTACTGGTAGCTGTTGCTGCTACTGCCAGAGGAGATTCTGCGCTACAGGCAGCCGTCGCATTTGTACTTGCTGCGCTTCTGTTCGGACTGCCGACGCTGCGCTGGCCCTTTCCAGAGGCAGCGAGCCGTATGGAAGCTAAGGGCGCCTCATTTCTGCCAGTGGCCGGAGCTACCGAATTCAATATGTCGCCCCAGTGTTCAACACCAGGTAGCTGGGGTTGCCTACGAACCATGCGTACTCCACGCGAATCGACGAATGACGATGTACCGGCTGATGTGGGACCCATGGAAAAAGAATCATCCTCCGCGTCCAGTTCGTCTTCTGACGCCCAAGCGACGGCCAACTCAACTGAGTTGGTACGCGCAGTGGCCCAGCGCTTGGCAGCATCCAAGAGGCTACGTACCCTCTCTTCTACAGCTGAAGTGCTGCCATTATGATGGTGGCTGCTGTGGGGCCTGGTGCTGCTGCTGCACGGAGTAGATGGTGTGCTAGGTGCATTGCTGGTGGGTGTAGGCAATGATCGTAGGCGATAACTGGAACCGCGCAGTGAGCCTATCGCCTTCAGCCGTAAAGCGCTGATCCGACGTTGCATTTCTTTGACGACGAACAGATCCCTGTCCGTGGGTGCTGTCTGCCGGCGAGGACCGTGACGGGCTAATGGCTCCATACCTTTCTCGGGACCAGGACAACTCTCTTGCGGGTATAGTTTACTGGTGTGTGCAGCACCCTTCTTTCCACTCTGCTCATTTAGATCACCTTGATCCATTTCAGGGATCTCGATACTGTGGCCTCCGTGTCTTGTGCACTAACCTATTTCTTCAGCATAACGCTTTCGTGCGTCCGGAGCATCACTGCCAGGCTAACACGGGTATTCGGGTCGTCGGTGTGAACTGGTGCCGGTGGTGATAGTATGAAGGCTAGCAGCCACACGAACACGCTCGTACTCCCGCACAAACGGATGGCGTGCACGGGACGGGAGATGGCTAGGATATAGTTTTTTTCACTTTATCGCGCGCGCTTCCTCGATCCACATGCACAGGTGCGTCGATGACAAGCAACTAGCCAAGGTCTTTACGCCAGCACGGGAGAGAGTGATGTCGTCGGCACTGCAATCCTCCCTGGCCGGAAACTGATCTAGAAGGCTGCAGCTAGCAGGGAACGACACGTCTTTTTGGCGTGTGCATGCACGACACTCTCTCACCTAGCACTGCAACTGCCACTGTACTGGTACCAAACTCAAACTCAAAGACTCCAAATCGTGGCTCCGGAAGACAACTGACCAACTACATCGTAGATCTACTAGTAGTAGTAGTACCACAAGTAGTACGCGGAGTAGATCTACGCGGTCGGATCGGTGACCAGCATACAGCCCAATACAATCATGGTAATAATTCTATGATTCAGTGGATGAACAAGACGAACACATGCCATGGTCACAGCCTAGCCTCTACAATCGTGTAGTCTGCACCGAGACCTGAGTGAGTACGTCGAGTGTGAGTCAGTGGATGCCGCTCTACGCCGCTACAATAATCATCGTAGTTGCAGATAAGACAAATCTCCACTGCAGAAGCCTAGCTCTACTTCAGCAGTAGAGACTCGGAGCCGGAGTCGAACTGTCGAAGTCTCAAACCCAAACAAGGCAAATAAAAGCAATGACCATGATGACCGTGATGACAGCCTTGCTTGGCCTTCCCTGGTTACCATAGCTACGGGATCAGAAGAGGCTAGCCGGCTCGACCTCTCAACCAACTACTTCAAGTAATAACTAATACTAGTAGTAGTAGTAATACTAGTTCAAAAACGCCAACCGCGCATAGATCGATCTTGTTTGCCCAGTTGTGGTGATGCTGATGGTGACGATGGCTACAGGACTACCCATGGGGCTCCAGGCACTGATCACTATGCACTACTTGTATAATATTTTGTAAATGTGCATCTCCATTCGCTCCGGGCAACAGCTGCCTGTCGTAAGAGCTGGAAGGCTCATGGGTAGCGAATAGCATTACAGCCTTTACAGGTATTATGGTTTATCGTCTGATGAGTGTTTTTTGAAACACGAAACTCGGAGTTACGAGAAGGATTTTTCTGTTGTTCTGCCCTGTGTGGTAAGCTCTGCCCTTTTTGAGATATTGTCATTGAGCACTGTTTGCAGCAAAGACTCCAGACACGTTGTGTGCATGTACACTGCTGTGGTGCTAGTAGTAGTATAGTAGGATACACATCCTAGCCGTTTACTACTAATAGTAATAGTAATACTTACTAAAGCCTTTACTTGCTTTAGTATTAGTGCATGGTAAGTAATTGTTAAATTTTTAGTAGTTGGCAGGGGAAAAGGAAACGGACGGCCACGATCCTCTGACCTCAACTTGGCTCAAGTCAGGGCATTCTGTACATGATTACCAGTATGTTGATGGAGCTCTAGCTCTGCAGCCTCCCCGACTGCATTATCAGTGCTTGTCAAACGACACAAGCTACATGATTGTACTGATGTAGACACGTTAGGGCATGACATTGACAACACCCTGAACCAGGGCACGAGTAGGTACAAGTAGTTTTGACGTGTTCATGACTGGCTAGGCTGCGCATGACGGCATGTGGCTGTGGTTGAACACTAACCACTGAGTCTGTGGCACTGAGTTTGCACCTGGCCTGGCACTCAGCACTCAGTACAGTGTACTCTGGAAGAAGCCCATGCCTCTAGCTCTAGCTCTGTCGCGTGTCGAGTGTCCTGTCGTCGTTGACGTGACATGTGACGTCTGTCATCACGGTCATGGCGCACAAGACAAGTACACAGTCGACGACTACATAAAACATCATTGTAGTACTACATTCCACAAGTACTACTAGTACTAGTAGTACCAGTACTAGTAGTCTAGTCCCGAACTCCCGATCTACGCAGCTCCCAGTCCAGCTCAGCTGACCACATACATGTACCAGTTATTGAACGCATCGCATACATCGCGCTTCACACTTCAATGCAATGACTCTCATCACTTGTTTGGGTTCATTATTATTAATTTTATACAATACATTGTATCTGCAGGGTACTGTACTACGACTAACGAGTCTTCGCCGTGGAATCGGACGTGCAGTGGACGAATGGCCGTCGACAGTGTAGCTACGCAGACATGCAACGCTCAACGGATTGGGAAACTCAACGTCCAAATGACTTTTTATACATGTACATGTACGAGTACATGACTGTATAAAATCATGATTGTACTATACCTCCCATGCGGACTCGGGACGTTATACGCTACCGAATCGACTGTCACTGTCAGGGCAAAAGCGCGCAGGTGCACCGCCGCACCGGTGTATCGGATCCGGGGATCCTTTGGAAGACGGATGGCCGGCGTTCTCGTGACGTCAACTACATACAACAAAACCAAACATTAGGCTCTCGGAAGGAGCCGCATTCCATGATTTTATGAGTGTGTTATTGTCAGGGATCGAGTCGTACAAACCCGACTCCCTGGTCACTGGCGCTGGGCACTGCAGAATGATAATTGTCTATTTCAGGATTACCCAAAGGCTGACGCCTACATGTATGTGGGGGATATAATTATACGGTATACAAAATACAATGTAGTAACAATATAATATTTTTATATCCTCAGTTTACAATGAGAGAAGCACGAAACAGTCGTGTCGTCTCTGTACAGACAGGGTTCGTAATTCGTGGCGAAGATCTGCACTACAAAGTCTACAATCTTCATGTACATTGTACATGATTGTCTACATCACACGCTGGGATATCCACCTTCTTGACATGAACCTTCCAGCCCCAATTGGCCAAAGCCATGGAGAGGTCAGTACAAGTACGACCGGTACCCTAGACTTGCATTGAGACTTGAGAGTCGATGAAAAGTAACGACGTGTTATACATGAGCGGCGAGTAGCACTGTCCCTTTCTGAAAAATTGTCGCTCTCAGCTTCAGATCCAAATTCTGGTATAATCCGGAACATCTTGTACCAGTTGTGCAGGATAGAGACAGCGATTGTAGACACTCACAGACTGCATGATTCCAGTCGTATGTTATAACAAATAATAGCATTATACATGTAACATACAAGTAGTGTAAAATGGCATAGTAGCCCCACCAGCATTCCCTATTGGCGAACAGTTTCCGTACATCCCCCCGATACGAGCGTCGTACCCGAAAATAATTGCTCCACTCGTAGACTCGCCTTGGGAAGGGTTGGTCGTATAAAAAGCAGTGGTGGCACATGTTCAGTACAATGCAGTGCCATTGGCATCGGTGTCGATGTCCGCTTGCAACACGGAACGAACAACGGCAAATATACAATTATGTACATGTAGCTTCTGTAAGCAACTGCTGCCTCGTGATGGATATCGGGAGTAGGCCGAATGATTATTGACTCTTCTTTCGTTTACCATGTCTCCCATTTTCATTTCAGCCAGCCCCGTTTTGCTATAACTACTGTTGACTGTATTGCCAGGTGATGGCCCATGGTTTCCCGCAGTGTTCAGTATAACTACTGTTGACTGTATTGCCAGGTGATGGCCCATGGTTTCCCGCAGTGTTGCATGCCTTCCCATCGTCATGGACTCATAACACAATTAAATGGGAGAACCCGCCCATGATTCGGAGTTGCGATGTACCACATATGTACTACTAGTAAGTACTAGTAGTAACCATGATCACACAAGTCTAAAGCCGTTTATCCTGGGTTGCAGGTCTGCAGCCGTATCCTGTCAGATCCACAGATGTTCTTTGTTATACTCCTGCACGCGATTGGTGGGACAGCGAATGAATTATGATCCACTACTTGTCTTTGTAGTGGTATGTTGCGTATCACATGGGACAATCCCTCCGCCTACATTCTCCATCTGCCAACCCCTGCCCGAGGCCAAAATGCAAAAACGGACACGCGATGTGTAAACTCGCACAGCCTCACTGCCCTTGGCGGTCTCAGTACTCTCACGTGCAGTCCACGGGTATACTACCCCTGGCCCTGTCAGTCAACAAGTCACTGAATGCATCATTTTGTTGAAGGCAAACATTGCAATCAGGTACCGCATGTAGCATGAACTCATGTCAGCCTTCCCTGCTTCTCACGCTCACCGACTTCCAAGACATTGTGTGAGTTCTGCAAACAGTCTGAAACATTTCCTGCTGTTCGTTTTTGACGCAAATCATGTACATGTACTAGTAGTAATCAACACGTCCACGTCCACAGTCACAATCCCTGTACGTGTACAATGTACGAGCCGATGTTCTAGAGCTCTCCCGGACAAGCATCTTACAGGCAGAGAGTATAACGATCCGGATGGATCCTAGGTGCAGCTGTTGGTTGCAGCCGTATTCAACAACATGTTCCCAGAACTTGGCAGAAGGACAGGACTCGAGAGTTTACCTTAATTTTTAAATGAAGGGAGACATTGCAAATTTGCAATAGCGGATGGACACCACAATTGTGCACAATGCCAATGCCAATGCCAATGGCATTCATTAGCAATGCGCTGTTAGGTCGGGATTTTCCCGGAAATGCTATGACTGTGATGCTCAACTCCAATCCTGACGTTGGCAGCTCTGACGATAGCAGCAGCCTCTTCAACTCTGGCAGCTCGCAGAGCAGCAATGTCAATGCAGCATGTTTGGACCCTGACTCCATCGATGTTGACATATTCTACGTCATTGCTGTCATTTTGACAGGTATTGAGATAATACATGTAAAGTCCATACTGAAACCCATATGCATAGTACAAGTAAAATGACTTATGTTGCTGTGAGAACAATCTTGAGAATATTACATGTACATGTATAGGCACATTGACGGCCCCCATCCTTTCCCACGTCACGTGTCATTCTTTAGCGCGCAATGTAGACTCATAATCATATCCTAGGCTGTAGTCAGGATGAATGCAGGCTCTGCACAGTCTGCAGCTCAAGTCAAGATGGAGCTTCAGCCCAAGCCACCACAAATGACAAGCAGCTTCCAGCGCCGTGCTGCCACCAACTACATGTAATAATTATAAAAGAGGTATGTTCAACGGGATGTGTCGCATATTTGACTTCAGCAGCTGCTGACTCCATTCGACTGCCTGTGTGTTTCCAGTGTCTACTTTGCTGTACATGACGCGTGATACTGTAATTGCAGATATTGCAGCCTTGGGTAGGCCCTCTGGCCTCTCTCCCATACACTGCAACACAGCGTGACGCAGTTTTAGCATTCCAGCCAGTCCAAAGGTGTTATTGCATTCTCTGTTGGTTACACAGACTGTGACAAAGGTGGTCATCCATTGAAAGTGATTTGAAACATACCCGTTC